TTTCCGCCTTTTGGCCGTACGTTCACTTTTAGTATGGTTTCCACACAATCCTTTATAAATGAGACCCCAGGTCATGGAGCGGCTTCATGATCCCAGTTATGTCTGAACCTGGGGAATAAACTAAAGTTCGTTCTTGTAGCTGAATTTAGCTTTTCTCAATTGTTTTTTGAGTTTAGCTTATTTCAGCTTAAGGCTATAATTTTGTTAATTTTAGCTTTAACTTGTAAGTGTAGCTTTTGCCACTGTTTAGCCAATTTTAGCTTCAAAAACTGGTTGCAAATTTTAGCTTTTCGCTAATGATTTTTAGCTGTAGCTTTTGGCTACAGTTTAGCCAATCCTAGCTTCAAAATCTAGTTGACAGATTTTAACTTTCAGTTACAGTTTTCCTAAATGTTTACAACAGTTCCTCTGATTTTAGCTTTTGTTTTTGCCATTTAACCTTTAAGCTACGATTTATTAATTTAAACATTTTTCTAAGGAGTTATAATTGTAGCCATTGGGAAAGTTCTGTAGATTTGTCCAAACCAGATAAACTAAAGTTTGTTTGGACCTGGGATTATTTTTATATTTTTTTCCTACAAGCTAAAGGGTGAGTAACAGTTAAAACACTCTGCTGTTTGTAATTTATTGTAGCTGTTGTTAGCTTAGAAGAAACTTTTGCTGTGTGTCGCCTGTTTATGCACGCTCCCACAGCTACTGAAAACTTCCACTCTGAGACCTGGTTTCAAAAGGTGTCGGTGTCAGTGACTCCGATCACCAGTGACGTGTAAACGAGCGGCTGGATCACAACAAAATCGTTGTGGTTTCACTGAGAACCAGCTCCGTGTAAACAGGGCCTTGACGCGCTCCAGGGAGGAGGTTTAAATCTGCTGACTCTCCTCCTCCTCCATCGTCAGGTTGGTGAAGACGAGCCCGGAGCTGTCCGACTCCAGCGGCTGGTTCCCAGAGTCATACATCATCTATCCCACTAATCTCAACACCCCCGTGGCTCCGGCCTCCAACGGCATCAGCCACCTGAAGAGCAATCCGAAAACCGACGAGCGGGAGGTGTTCCTGGCCTCCTATCACGCCAGAAAGGAAAGCGGCGACGGATCTGTGTGGATCGCCAAGTCCTCCGCTGGAGCTAAAGGTCAAAACTTGACTAATCAGCCTCGGTTTGGTGTTTTACCTTCACTGAGTCTGCATGTGTCTCACCTGCAACAGGTGCTGGTATCCTTATATCCCATGATGCTAATCAGCTGCTGGAGCACATCGATAATCAGGGTCAGGTTCACGTCATCCAGAAGTACCTGGAGAGACCTCTGCTGCTGGAACCGGGCCATCGCAAGTTCGACATCAGGCAGGTCTTTGATGAGAAACAGATCTGCAGCTGGACCTTTTAGCTCAGCTTGTTGTTTTATGGCTTCAACAGGAGCTGGGTGTTAGTGGACCACCAGTATAACATCTATTTGTACCGGGAGGGCGTGCTGCGGACCTCCTCCGAACCCTACAACAGTTCTGACCTCCAGGACATAACCAGCCACCTGACCAACCACTGCATCCAGAAGGAGCACTCCAAGAACTACGGTCAGTACGAGGAGGGCAACGAGATGTTCTTCGACGAGTTCCGGCTGTACCTGCTCAACGCTCACAACGTCACGCTGGAGGCCACGCTGCTGCCTCAGATCAAGCACATCATAAAGTACGCTCCCCGCCATTTGTCCCGCTAGCTTTTCATAAAAAAACTCCAACGTTGAGTGACGACACAGTCACAGAGATGTCACGAGTCAAGCTAGGAGCTACTGATTTGTCTTCAGTCATCAGCAGGGTGTTTGTTTCTTATGTTTCAGCTGTGGGAACAGCTAAACAAAGCGTTAGCTTCACTAACCGCTAATCCGCTAAACAAGAATCTTAGCTCCACTATTGCTAATCCGCTAAACAAGAATCTTAGCTTTGCTAATGCTAATCCGCTAAAAAATAATCATAGCTCTGCTAATGCTAATCCGCTAAACAAGAATCTAACTTTGCTAATGCTAATCCGCTAAACAAGAATCTTAGCTTTGCTAATGCTAATCTGCTAAAAAAGAATCATAGCTTTGCTAATGCTAATCTGCTAAACAAGAATCTTACCTCAGCTAATGCTAATCCACTAAACAAGAATCTTAGCTCCGCTAATGCTAATCCACTATAAAAGAATCTTAGCTCCGCTAATACTAATCCGCTAAACAAGAATCTTAGCTCCACTAATGCTAATCTGCTAAACAAGAATCTTAGCTCCACTAATGCTAATCTGCTATAAAAGAATCTTAGCTCTGCTAATTCTAATCCGCTAAAAAAGAATCTTAGCTCTGCTATAAAAGAATCTTACCTCAGCTAATGCTAATCCACTAAACAAGAATCTTAGCTCCGCAAATGGTAATCCGCTATAAAAGAATCTTAGCTCTGCTAACGCTAATCCGCTAAACAAGAATCGTAGCTTCGCTAATGCTAATCTGCGAAACAATAATCTTAGCTCTGCTAATATTAATCCACTAAACAAGAATTTGAAGTTAGTCAAACAACAAACAGCAAAAACTTTCTCTACCATAATGTAAATGCAGTCAATTTTTGAAATTAAGCTGCTAAAGATGCTACATGCTAACACAAGGTGCCTGAGACGTACAGCACTGCATTTAAGAGGGGACAGTTTTTCTTTAATTCAAGAGAAAAGGCATAAAAATAGAAGTTTTACACTTAAATTTTTGAGTGGGCTTTAAAATTAGCTGAAGCTAATCAGTCTGCTAATGGTTTCCAAAGTTAGCAAAAAGCTAATCCAGTAAATGAGAAGCTCTTAGCAGATTAGCAGACCTGTTTCCAGCGCTGTGCTTTTTGTTTGACAGGAGCTGTCTGACCTGCATCGAAGCGGCCATCAGCACCAAACATCTGTCCTACCAGAGCTTCCAGCTGTTTGGCTTCGACTTCATGGTGGATGAAAACTTCCGAGTGTGGCTGATTGAGATTAACGGAGCTCCAGCCTGTGCCCAGTCAGCATTAATCCTTGTGTTTCTGTTGAAGTGGGGGTAACGCTGCAGGGAAATGCTTTTCATTCAGTTTGATTTTGTTTTTCTGCAGGAAACTGTACCCAGAGTTGTGTCAGGGGATCGTGGACGTGGCCATCTCCACCGTCTTCACCCTGAACAGCGGTGGCGGCGACTCCTCGTCTCCTTACTCCTCCTCCCCCTCCTCCCAGTTCACCACCGCCAACAACGCCTACTCCTCTCCTAAACTGAGGGGGCCTCTGCACGTGGGCCCCTTCACCCGTCTGTGAGCGTCTCTGCGYTGCAGGAGACGCTCCGTGTCTGTCCTCATTATTTATGCATCGACTGTGAGGGGAGGAGTCACTCTGGGGGGGTCAGGAGGGACCGCCTCCCAGGTGTGCTCCTTCAGAGCGGAGGTGATGGAAAGACTGAGTGCCTTACGTTTCCAACTGAACAAGCTGCCAGTTCGCTCGCTCCGTCAGCGCCTCCTGCAGGTCTGATGAACCTCTGCAGCAGAACTTCAGTCCACAAGAAACAGCGTTTTCTTTTAGTTTTATTACTTTTTGTAGCCTGCCTGTCGCTACGCTTGACCCTGACCGTCTAACCCTGCGTCAGATTAGTTTAACCAGTGGTGGGCACGGTTCCACTAATCAGCTAACGGCTAGCAACTATTAGTGGATTAGCATTTTTGCTAGCTTTAAAAAACTGTTGGCAGACTAATGGCTTCTGCCAAATTAGGTTTTGCTAACTGTAAGTCTGCTAACAGCTAACTAACAAGCTAACGCTAACAGGTTTGTGTCAGTCCCAGCTGTCTTCAGTGACGAAGACGTGACACAAACTGAGGGACAGTCGTCTCGTCTTCTTCGTGGTTAGTTATTAACTCTTAGCTTTCGCTAATTTTTATTTGTTGAAGTGTTTATTGTTAGCTTCTACTAATTTTTTTTACATGTTTAGCATTAGCGAAGCTATATTTTTGAGTTAGCAAAGCAAAGGTTTTTGTTTAGCTGTGCCCACCACTGCTAGTTAAATATAAATTAATTAACAGTAATGGGCACACTTCAGCTAATCTGCTAACTTTTTGCTTTACAAATTAGCATTTTTGGTAGCTTTAGGTTTTGCTAACTTTAAGTCTGCTACGAGCTAGGTAACGAGCTAACTTCAACAGGTTTGCATCAGTCCCAGCTGTCTTCAGCTGGAAAGAGTCGAAGAAGCAACGCAGACTGAGGGAGAGTCGTCTTAGCGGTTAGCTATYAGCTGTTAACGCTTGCTAGTTTTTACCTGTTTAATTGTTTAGCATTAGCTTCTGTTAAATATTTTACATGTTTAGCATTAGTGAAGCTGTATTTTTAKTTAGCAGATTATGAACTCTTTAGTTAGCGGTGYCYACCACTGAGTTTAACCTTTTAAGGTTTTGTTTGAAAAGTTTTTCTTCAAGGAACRTTTTGGACATTTTGAAGGGAAGATCAGTGAATATCTTACCTGTTGTAGATAGCTCTTTGAACGACAACAAAGCTAACAGGTTTTGTTTGACAGAAACAGGTCGTTCAAAGAGCTACCTGCAACAGGTGAGATGTTTTTTCTTCACATCTTTCTACAGAACCACACTTCAGGAGCTCTGATGTCACCCCCTGATGTCTGAGACCAGGATTTTTTTCTAAAAGCTCAGAGGTTCTGTCACTTTTATCTTTTATTGCAAGAAGTTTAATTTTGTTTTTGAGGCGAGCATGTTTGTGTAAAAACATAAAAACCTCTCATCTGTTTTTTTATTTATTTGTTTTGGKTTTTTTTTGTTCCTGGTTTGAACAAACCATCTGTGTGGAACTAGTATAGATCTGTGTTTCTTTTTAATATCTGATAAAACAAAACTGAACATTAGTTAGTTTGTAAACCAAAGGATGAAGCAGAGTTAACTGTCGTTTGGTTTTTAAAGGTTTTTCTCTGATTTCTTCAGTCAGGGCTGTATTTGAGTTTATTTAAACTCCAGCATGATGTGTGGCTTTTATCTTTGATTGGTTTTAACTTCTGTCTAAATGTTATCTCTCCCTGTTTGTAACAAAATAAGAATTTTTGTTATGTCAGTTTTTAAAAGAGTTCAGTCAAAAGGTAAAATCTGGATTACTCCCCCGGGAGGAGCTGGAGAGTCTCTGGGGAGAGGGAGGTCTGGGTTYCTSTCCTGGACCTGCTGGACCTGCGACCTGACGGCGTTGGTCTCTGAGGATCAGGTTCTGTTCATCCTGAGGAGAATGAAGAAATTAAACATCTGGAAGAATCAAAAGGAATCATTTTTATTAAATGAAGGTGCTTTTGAGAAAATGAAATTCCAGCTTTAAAGTGTAGCTCTTTGTTCTGAGGCAACAAAATTTTGTTTAGCTTCTTTATATGACTGAAAATCTTGTTGTTTTTTTCATTTTTTTTTTTACCAAAGATGATGTTCTGTTAAATCAATAATTATGATTTCATCTTGTCTGAAGGAGCTGATGTGATTGTGTGCTGTCTTGATTATTTTATTACAACCCCTGCA